CCTTATAGGCACAATCGAGCCTTCTAGTGACTCCCACCTGCCTCCCTCTCTGGGTATGGACCCCCTGCTTTCATTTACTGATTTTCTACATCCCCTGTCTTTTTAGCAGAAAGAGTATCGCTCTCTAGCTCAGACCTAGAGGAAGTGGAGAAACCCAGAAAAAGAGGTAGCCCAGAAAAGAATTAGCACTCTTGAAAATGTCAGCCACTCTGGGGAGCTTACCGGGTGCCGTGTATTCTCTACAAGCTGCTTCTCATTTGCTCCTCGTGGGGGGATGGTTCCATGATCCCCATTTCACAGATGAGGAAACCGGGACAAGGAGAGGTACAATGAATTCCTCTAACAGCACAAAGTTAGTAACAGAAATCAAGAATTCTTTTTTTTTTTTTTGAGACAGAGCCTCAAGCTGTCCCCCTGGGTAGAGTGCCGTGGCATTATAGCTCACAGCAACCTCCAACTCCTGGGCTCAAGCGAGTCTCCTGCCTCCGCCTCCCAAGTAGCTGGGACCACAGGCGCCCGCCACAACGCCCGGCTATTTTTTGGTTGCAGCCGTCATTGTTGTTTGGCGGGTCCGGGCTGGGGATTCAAACCTGCCACCTTAGGTGTACATGGCTGGTGCCTTAGCCGGTTGAGCTATAGGTGCCGAGCCAGAAATCAAGAATTCAACCGGGAGGCGTTCTTTCCTCTCTGGGCTTGGGATGGTTCGAGGCGAGGTAGCTAAACTCACCAAGAAGGTGGGAATCATCCATAAATAAGGGACCCACTATGGCATGTCCCTCCGGAAAATGGTGCAGAAAATGGAAATCTGCCAGCATGCCAAGTACACCTGCCCCCTCTGTGGCCAAACCAAGACGAAGAGACGAACTGTGGGGATCAGGCACTGTGTGGTTCCTGCATGAAAACAGTAGCTGGTGCTGGCTGGACCTTCTGCTCTTACAGTAAAGTCTCCCATCAGAAGACTCGGAGGAACTAATAGGCCAATAGAAGCTCCACCTTTCAGATGTCACAAGCCTATAATAAATGCACCAATTTATGTAACTACAACAACATAGAAGAATCAGTCCCACTTCATGCTCCAAAGCCTCCCATAGGCTGGAGGAGCCAGGCTAGGACTAAGCACGCCCAGCCCACCTCCTCCAGGAAGCCTTCCATGATTGCCCCTTCATCTGAAGGAATCCTTGGCTCCCACACAAGCATCAGAACCTCACTGGACAATATGCGGTAAATACCTGTTGCTGTGGCCATCATCTTCCTGACTGGTCTCTCAGCTAACTGCGGGCTGCATGCCTCTCCCCAGATCGTGACGGGCTGCACTTGTGTCTGAAGTTTCTTTCTTTCTCTCCCATGGGACCTAGGATGGAGCCTGCTTGTCTCAGGTCTGGGGAAGTATTTCTAGAATTAAAGGGAGGTGTCCTAGAGCACACCCACTGCACCTTCTGCCCACAGCCTGTGGCTACCCCCCACTCCTGCCCAGCCTCTGTCTTGGGTCTTTTAGCTGCTAGAACAGCAGACTTGCAGATACCCACTCGCCCACCAGCGACCTCCTGAGCGTCCCTCCTCCCTTACCTTCCCCGAGGCCAGGGACGCCAGGGTACCAGCTGCAGCAACTGGGCATGGGGTAGGGGGTTCTCCTCCAAGTCCCTTACCTTGGAGCTGAGGTAAGCGTTGTCTCCAGCTGCCTGAGGCAGGTTTAATGGAAGCAGTTATTTACTCCTCAGGCTGACAGTGAGGGCCCTGACACAGCCCCAGAGAAAAAGATGTAAAGGAAAAGTAGGCTCGTCCTTGAAACTCCCCTGTCCCTCAGCCTGAAACAGCGATTTATGACTTGGATAATTCTTCTGCGCTTTATCTGGGGTGTGTGGGTTTGTGTGTGAACGTGTGGGGTGCGGGTGTATTTTCCTAGTAATAAAACCCTCAGTCTCGGCGAATAAATTTGAGGAGACAGTTTTACTGACAGATTTTTTCTCTTTTGTGTAATAAAAAAAATGGAGTGAAATTTGAGATTGGGACGATAAGGGCTGCCGCATTTTAGGAGAAGATAAAAAAAAGCAGCACCTGGAGGGAGGCGAGGCCTGGAGACGGGCTGCTGGTTAGACGGCAGGATGCCTTCCGCCTCCATGACTCAGGGAGGAAATTCCTCCACCCCTGAGCAGCCAGGCCGCTGGGGACAGAAGGGGACGCTGAGAGCCACCTGCTTACCCATGGACTTGCCACCTGTGAAACATGAACTAGGGACCAGAGTCTTGCCCAGAACCCAAAGTGGGGCCTAAGCTGAATTCTTGGTTTCTCCAAACTCAGTTTCTTCATCTGCAAAATGGGAGAATTATTGTCTCTTGTACTCACTTCTCAGGGACACTGTAGAGCTACATGATGGGGTGGACTTACAGCAGGGTTTCTTAACCTCGGCATGTGGGGCTGGTAATTCTTTAAGAGGGGTGTGAAGCTGTCCTGGGCATTATAAAATGGTCAGCAGCTTCCCTGGCCTCTCTGGGCCAGACACCAGCACAAAAACCCTGCCCGCCACCCACAGCCTCTAGCAGCAAATTTCTCCTGCTGGGGAGAGTGGGCGAAATCACCCTCCCAACTGAGGGCACTGGTATAAAGCTACTTTGGCTGCCCTACAAAGCCAAATGAATGATGAGGGGTGGGAGGGGGGTGCATAGAAGAGGAGCCATGTGGGGGTACCCCTGGCAGGATCAACAGGCTCCCCCTAAGCTGGGGTGTTGAGAGGTGGTAGGATGGAAGCTCTGATCCCAAGAGTGGCCAAGAGGCTACGGACCCTGTGCCACACTGGGCACAGACAGCTCAGCGACAGTCAACTGGGTCCTAACATCAGAGCAGGGGCGAGCCATGGGCATCTAGGGGTGGGAGTCTTCCTTGGGATGAGTGGCCGTGCAGATCCCAGGGAGAGAGGAGGCAGCCTGCCCCTACCAGCTGCTTCTCTTCCTCCTCTCCCTCCATCCATCCCATTTGGGGAACTGGCCTTGTATTCAGAAGGGGCTGAGGGAGAGACTGTGGTTCCCTGCCTTCCCAGTGCACAGACACACACGGTCAAAAAGCACCAAACCTTCAGGGGGAAACAAAGGGTGCATATGAGTGTTGCTAAGCCCCCAGGACACATGGGAGGGGTTGGGCTTAGCCAGAGGTAAGAAGAAGTTGGTGCAGGGTCCTGGAGCTTGTCAGTATATCGTCAACCCTGAAACTTATAGAGGCCCCCTATTCTCCACGGAGCTTGTGGTCTATGACCAACACAGATGTAGCCTGTGCCTGGTACACAGCTGGCACTCACTAGATGCTGGCTGGATAGCATGGAGTCTGTGTCTCCTAGACCAGTGGTAAGATCCCTTAGACTAGACAGATTTGGTCCAAGTCACCGTGTCCAGTCCTCCCAGGCAAGGCGATGGATCCACGCTCCAGCCCCCAGTCGCCCCATATGCCTGGAGATGTTGCTTAAAAGCATTCTCCCACCCCCACTCCAGCTCCTCGGAGACACCAGTCCCCGGCCACCACACTCCCAGCCCCCTCGCCCCCCTGCTTCCACCACGCAGAGCTGCAGGGAGTTAATTCCACTTCTCCAGGCCCAGGCATGAGGCCTCCCCATTGCAGGCTGTTAGCGTGGAGCCCAGCTGAGCGGGAGAGGCCGTGAGCTCCCAGTCTATAATAGAGTTGCTGAGACAAGCGGAAAACTGCAGCGGAGTAAACAGATAAATAATTGAAACAGTGACAACACATACCTTGCTGCTTTGTGGAGTAACACTTTCATTAGCTGGAGGCAGCATGGCGGGGGGGGGGGGGATGCGGGCAGGCAGCTGGGAACCCAGGACACTTGAGTCTGCTCAGCTATGAACAGTGGGGCACCTGAAGGGCCTTTGTCTCCCAGCCCAGATGTATTATCACCTCCCAAGGACCCGCCTTCTCCGGCCATGTGATCCTGCACGGAGTGGGAACTTCACACACATCCTCCTGGCCCATCTTGAGGGCAGTCAGAGGAGGGAAAGGTCTCCACATTGTCCCTTTCGTCACCCCCCTGTCAACAGGTGGGGTTCCTCAACCTTCTAGAGGGACAAGCTCATCTAGAATTGCCCTCACCCTAAGGCCAGAGGGAGCTTGTACGTAGAACCTGGATGTGCCTCTCTGACCACTGGCTGTGGGGACCCAGAGCTCCTTGGCCCCTCGGAGGCCCTCCAGGACCTACCCCATGGTTTCTTCCCAGCCCAGCTTCTTCCCATTCAGCCTTCCTTCTGCTCAGGCGCTCTGAATGCGGCCACTTTCCCCCGAACACACAGGGCTCTTTCCTGCCTCGGGTGGATCTTTCCTCCTCTGCCTGGCAAGTGCTCCCACCTTCTGCCGGCCCAGCCCCTACTCTTCCTTCAGAAGGCAACTCAAACACTGTTTCCTCCAGGAAGCCCTCTGTGACTATCCCATCCCCAGGACGGGGTCTGTCCCTCCTCTGGGCTCCCTGTTATCTTGGGCCTACTCCTCGCAGGATTTATTGAAATGACTGCAATTTAGCTTGTTGGTCTCCATGTGAGATCTTTGCTCCTGGCCCCCAGTTCCCTTTTCCTCTTTCCAGCTGGTCTGCTCCCCCATCCCTTCTCTCCTTGGGCCAAGGGCAGCTGTGGGATCAGGCCGTGACCCTGTGACTGACTATAAAACACATTCACACTCTCTGGCCCTGTCCACAGCTTCCCTAGCCTTGCTGGTCACTTAGGTAAGAAACCAGTCACAGGAGTGGGGTTGCCTCGTGCATGGAAAGAGCCAGAGAGGAGAGCCAGCTCTGCTCCTTCCTGGCTGCAGGACCTGGGGAAGTGGCTTCACTTCAGGGCGTCAGTTTACCCATCAGGAATGTGGGGGGTGACACCCCTCCACATGGGAAGATGCTAGTGATGACCCAGACACCTCCCATGAGAGGCTTCTCCTGGAGCACCAGGGCAGTGGGGAAGGGCGGGGCCAGGGCTAGCTGAGCACTCACCTATGGCCACCTCTGTGCTCTGTGGCAGGTGACAGATGGCGGCACCATCAAGCAGAAGATTTTCACCTTCGATGCCATGTTCTCCACCAACTACTCACACATGGAGAATTACCGCAAGCGGGAGGACCTGGTGTACCAGTCCACTGTGAGGTGAGGGTGGGAAGGGGGTGGGAGGGGAGGGGAGCACAGTGGAGGGAGCTGGAGAAGTGGAGACAAGGAGAGGGTGGGGGGATGTTGTCTCCGCCCTTTCACTTCAATCCCTCCGTGCTCTTGGGCTTGGAAGGCAGAGCTAGGGGCTGTGCTTGCAGGAAACAGACCCATCCCTTGTAGGGATGTGAGGCATGAAAGGGTAAGGCCACAGCCCCCTGTCCCTATCTAGTCTCTCTAGCTAGCTCCTCCAGCAGTCCTGCGGGGGGTCAGGGGGCTTTCCAAACCCCATTTCCACATGAGGACACTGAGGCCCAGAGAGGGTGAGCCATGTGCCTAAAGTCACACAGCAGCCTGGAACAACAGAGTTGGGAGGTGAATGGGCTCTGCCTGGCTCTGAAGCCCCTGCCACACATGCCACGGCTCCTCCTGGGCCCCAAGGCCATAAGGGGCCCAAACTTGGGAAGGAAAATGACCTCAAACCCCTGGACTCCCAGGCACGATAGGGGCAGGAGAAGATCTGGAGCTCAGAGATACTTGTTCTTTCTACCCTGCTCCTGTTTTCCAGAAGGCGGCAGAATCAAGCTAACTGATCCCATTCCAGGGTCTGCCACTTTGTAGATAGATGTGTATGTGCCCATGACCCCACCCCCTCGCACATGGCCCCACCCCCTCACACCCGCCCCCTAAAAGGCCCAAATCCTATTTTATTGCTATTCTTTGTACACAGGCTATTCCCTCTTCTCAAAGGGCTCTCTCTCTGTGGTCACCCTGTAAACTCTTCATCAGCTTTCAGAACCCCACTCAAGCAGGTCCACCCATAAGACCCCTCACACAAGCAGAACTGATCCCCCCAAACTGGATGGCTGTGACTCCTCAGAGGCCCCTAACTCCTCAAGAGGGGCTCTCATTTCACTTGTCAAGTGTAGCTTCACATAGGCACTGGAAGTGCACAGTTGTGTGCGCGCATGTGCGTACACACACACACACACACACTCTCTCTCTCTCTTTCATAATGCCCAGCCAGAAAGCGGCCGTCCACTTCAAAGCTGGAGTGGGCACACTGAGAGGTGCCTGTGTGGCGTGTGCGGTGGCACTGTGCTTTCTGGGCTGTGACATTCCAGGCAGTACCTGCTACCTCTGTCTTTATACTTGGAGCATGGAGGGGGAGTAGGCCCCAACATGGGCTGTTCCTCTTTCTCTCTGTGTCCATGAGCTTCAGAAGGACAAGGCACATGCCCCCGGCCCCTTCACCTTGTTCCCCAGCTCTCAGCCCAGGGCTCAGCACACAGTAGCTGCACAGTGAAATTTGCAAAACAAGTGGACAGCTCTGGGTCCTCTCCTTGGCTCTTTGGGCCTCAGTTTCCTCACGGGTAAAATGAGAAAAGGGGACAATAGGTTGCAAAGGGTGCGTTCAGCCCCGCAGAGGGACTCTGGTCCTCCCCACCTGTTTCTGTAAGAACAGGAAGGTGGGTGTGCTCCCAGGAGCACCTTGCTGGGTCCTCCTCCTCCTCGGGCTGCGGCAGGCCAGTGCTGAGAATGTGGATATGAAGATGCCTGAAGAGGTGTGTAAGTGACCTCACAGATGCCTCCATCTGTCTAGTTACTATTTCTCTAGGACCCGCTTCCTAAAAGAAATTGGGGCACCTTAAAATATTAAAGCACCAAGTCCATTACAATCAAGATGAAAAAGGAGATAAGAACTCATTTTGGAGACAAAAATCACTGTTCTAGAAAACAACGGGTGGTTCTGTAGCAAGTGAAATCTCAGATCATCTCTAAGATTCTCAGATACACAAGGCTGCCTGGCCATCCCTGCCTGGTCACTGTGGTCTCTGAGACTACACCCACACCCCTCAGTCCCCTCCACTGCCACAGGGGTGGTCTCTAGGACAATTCCTTGAACCCCACCCTCCCTGCTCCCTGGAGTTTCAAGAACACAGTTCTGGTGCCTGGTGCCAGAAGACCTGGGTTCAAATCCCAGCTTGGCCACTGCCCACTGTATAACTTTGGATGAGAGCCTTAACCTCTCTCTCTGCGTCAGTTTCCTCACCTGTCAAGCAGGTTGCACTGGATGGGCTTTGTACAATTGTTGAAGAATTTAGGCAAAGTTTATGTCCAAGGGCCTGCGAAGGGCCTGCGTCTCTCCTACCTCCTTGCATTACTGAAATCTTGGGCTGGTGTAACTCTAACTTTTGTGACATCCAAACATGAATGACAACAATAAGAAGACCACTGCGGCCTCATGAGGACCTGAGGAGTGCATTTGTGTAAAGTGCTGGCTCAGGGTTGTGAATGGTACATGTTTGCTATTATTACCTAGAACAACCCTTCCTCCCCCCCCCAAACAAAACAAACCGAAAAAAAAAATAATTTACCACTGAACAAATCTCGTAAAGCCTTTTTCTATTCTTTTATTTTTGATCCTCACAAACAACCCCACAAATGCAGGCAGTTATTATTATCAATTATTATTTTTGTCCCTGGTTTTATTACAAAAGGAGTCAGAATTCAACAAGGCCAAGAGTCTTGCCCAAGGTCTCCCTCTGGAAGAACATGAACTTGGTCAAGCCCCAAACCATCTCCTTCTACCCCGACACCGTGGTGCCTTCCTTGTTTTAGAGTTGAGGAAGCCAATGCCCAGAGAAGGCATGAGACTTGCTCAAGGTCACACAGCAGCATTGACTTCAGCCAGGTTTCAGGCCAGCGCTCTTTTCTTCCCCATGTCGGTCGCTGGTCTCCCCAGCCTTCTCTCTGAGCCTTGGTTACAGGGCTGGTCTCCCAGGCAGAGAGCAGCCCGGAGAGCTGGGCTGTCCTGTTTGCTGAACACTGAGAGAAAGAAGGAAGGAGCAGACCTGGAATCTAACAGGACAGGGGAGAGTTACCAGCCACCCAGCCAGCAGCACTGGGGGGGGGCTACATCACCAGGCTGCAGAGCCCCATTAGGGCTGGCAGCGGGTTTGGGATTCTGTATTTACATATAAATGAAGATATTTACAAATTAATGCATCTCAACAAGAGAGTCCCAGCTCCGCAGCTGTCTGAGCGGCTTCCTTGTCAGCTGGGGAAAGTGGGGAGGGAATGAGGCTAAGAAGATTACCAAGAATTGGCGCACAGCAATTTCCCGGGTGACCTCGAGGAGCCCCAGGGGACTCCCAGGGACTCCCAGAGCTTTTCCTCCCATTGATGGGGATGGGGCTCTAAAGGAGGGAATGCAGGCGGGGTGTTAGGGTTCACCCAACTCCCCCAGGAATGTAGGCATAGCACCCCGGTTGCATGACCTTGGGCAGGTCTCTGCCACTTTGAGCATTTCCAGCGGCCTGGCTATCAATTGCCTTTCCAGTTCTGAGCCTCAGAAACTAGAACTTCCAGGCTGGCATTGACAAGAATTTATTCCCTGGAAGCGTATTTAATTGAGCACCTGCTCAGAGCCTGGCATGGTGCAAGGTGTCCAGGGATACAGTAGCTTTCCAGTCTAGTGGGGAGACAGTGAGGAAAGGACAGAACATGCCCTGAAGATGTGCATCCAAATGGGGGATAAAGGGGCTAGTGGGGTGTGGTGCCGGGAAAGGTGGTGATTGTGCAGAGACCTGGGGGACAGGCGGGAGCCATCCTGGTGGGGAGGAGGTGGATGTGACCCATAGTGTCCTACCTGGCTCACAACCTCTTGCCCCTCACTATTCGGGGCAGTGCTGGGATGCTTGACTCTTCCCGGGGGGCTTTCTCAGCCACAGGAGCCCACTCTGCTTACACACAGGGCCGGCAGGCAGTGCTAGGGAGGGGATGTCTCCTGGGAGCTGCAGGACCAATGGCTGATGGGAAGTGTTGGCAGAATCCCCACCACAGCGGGACAACTCACATGCAGGATGGAGGCTCAGCAGCTCCCAGGAACAGCCTTGATAGGCACCTGCACTGGCTTCCTTCTCTCCTGGCTCGTTCTTCCAGCTTCCCAGATCCCCTCTTATGTAAATGCCTTCGCTCCCAAATCTATGTCTCAGGTCCGCTTCTTAGGGGCCACCTGAGGGTGGGGGCAAGAGCATGATCCAGGTGACGGTCCCCTGCACATCCATGCCTGCGATCTCACCCCTGCCTTGCCCAGGTCACCTGTTCTTGCACCAGGCCAGACACAGGTTCCGAGTGGCCAGGCTGACCACGTGGGTGGAATGCCGTCCTCACTGTGCAAGAAGGAAAAAGATCTTTCCCTTCTGCCCTTGTAGGTTCTTGGCTGGGGCCCCCATAGCGAAAGACTGATGTAAGGGAAGAACGTACATAGAAGAGCCCAGTTCATAGAAGTTTTATGCCATCCAGGAGCCGTACAAAGAAAATGAAGACCCCCAAGAAGTGGTTGGCCCTGTGTGTTTTTATGCTCGATGTGATAAAGCGGGGAGTTGTGGGAGAATGTGATAGGACCAAGGTGTGCACTGAGGGCAGTGGGCTGGGGGGCACTCAGCCGGCCCATTCGGATCCCTCTCGGTGTCCCTGTCCCTCTGTCCTTGGAGGGGAGCATGCCCCCTTCCTCTGGGTATAGGGGGAGCACCTCTCACAGGAGGGTCTTGTGACCTGCTTCAGGGGAAAGTTAGAGTCCTTCCTGCACCCACTGCTTCTCAAGTTCCTTCAGCTTAAAATATCTGCTATGCTGAGCCCCTATGTCTGAGGGAGCATGTTTTGAGCCCCCTAGATGGCCGCCGTGGCCTCCTTGGAGGTGAGAGTGAACCTGCCTGTACATAGGCTATGCCTCCCATTCCCAAAGCCCCCGCAGGCCCTGGTCCCATCCAGCTGCCCACAGCGTTATGAGGAACACCAGACAGGTTTTGCCATCCCTACTTCACTGGCAAAGAAAATCTAGACTTGAGGGGCTCAGGATGCCCCCCTCCCACCTGCTGCTCTCTCTCAAACATCTCCCATACCTCCCTTTGCCAACAAGGTCCTGCTCATCATTTCAGGTTCAGTTTAAATGCTGCTTCCTCTAGGAAGCCAGCCCTGACTGCTGGGGCTCACTGCTG